CAAATTTTCTTTTCAAGGAATCTACTTCGTGGATGGCTTTGACAGACAGTCTTATGATGGAATTCTCGACGCAAGATTGCTTAAAAATCCTACAAGATTCTATGAAGAAGACGGAGGATGACTACACGTTGGTTAATAAGCAAGCGAGAGATGAGCTAAATGCGGCGCTGAAGGCAAAATCCTCCAAAGATCTGCACGCTAGAGGATTTGATCTCAAACCCATCAATAAATAATGTAAATATGCTTTTAGAAGTTTGTTGTTGTTGTTGTTTTTTTATCTGAATGTTTCTGTTCCTTCTTGACTTACGTGTACAAAATAAATTGTTTATCAGGCTTTGATAACTTCGATATCATGTGGATGGATCCTTAATAATATCTTTATTAAAGCACCCTTCTTTTGAAGTTCTTGTTAGGTTGCAGCCTGTGAATTTCAAGGCTGCAATTTACTTGAATGTCAATACAACAAGTTTTTATCATAAGCAGAGCTGGAAGTTTGATTTACGATTGGGAAGCCAAATCAGATGTGGTATGCTCAATTTTAATAGGTTTCTCATAGACTACCGTTTAATACGAATCTAGGGATAAGACTGTTCAGCTCTAAGCTAGCAATTTGTACATTCCCAATAGTCATTTTCTGAAAGTTGTGTTGTTCAGGCCGAAATAGAAAGGATATGCGACTATCCGCTAGATATTATGTTGGAGGAAATAGATCAAAAGGCTGTAGTTGTTTTTGGAGAGAAAGACGGCATCAAGCTAAGGTTAGTATTTCTGCTGTTTAATAAATTTCTTCAATGCCTTCCAGCAGTTCTAAAACTTAATACTTTGTATCACGCAATTTGCTTACACAAGGTTTAGCTACTTCTGTTCTAGATATTATGTCACTGGTGCTAATGGTTTCAAAGTTTCTGGTACAAAATTCTTTGTGGATGGAGTTGAACATAGTATTTTCAAGTATTTGGAGGATGAAGCAAATTATCCAGTAAGTTTCTTCATAGCCTTCCACTTCGGTTGACAATCATCTAGTTTAGGTAAGCATAAGGTTTTCACCTCCGTCTGTATCAACAAATGAGAAAATCATATTATCATCCATGTTTCATTCCTTGTTCACAATTGCAGTCCAACTAAGTCCAGCCGCCAGGAGCTCTGGAATCGAGGTTGGTCGATCTTATCATGGCACTTTGATTTTGAATTAATTGGAGTCAGCCTCTGGATGATGACTCTTTGAAAACTTGATAGCCAGGATCGGATACGTTTTTCACAGTTCTATCTTCACCGCCAAAGTACTTGTCATAGCAGAGGTGATTTCTACATGAACATGATAACGTATTTTTCGTTCTACCTAAACTCAGCAATTGTCATATGTAAAAGCCACTATCATATCTTATCGACTGTACGTTTACCTTACAACAGCAAAGGTTGAGCATAAATTCAATTTCGAGTCTATAGTAATCTGCTCGAGGTGTACATGTTAAGTTTTATAGCAGAGCTCTCATTATTGTATAACATAAAATACTATCCTAAGTAGAATGTGTTGTCTTCAACGTTCTTCGTTGCAGGTTATGGAAACTACTCAATTTCGTCTTTCTTGCTTACAAAGTCGAACAGGTACATTCATTTCCCATTTGTTGGAACAATGTTTTAAGAGATTTTCAAGGTGTTAAATTCGTTGTTGTGACCACT